AGGGAGAGAGAAGAGAGAGAAGCAGAGGGAGAGAGAGGAGAAAGAGGAGAGAGGAAGAGGGAGAGAGGGAGAGAAGGAGGAGAGAGAGGGGAGAGACAGGGAGAGAGAGAGAAGAGATGGAGAGAGTGAAAGGGAGAGAGGGAGAGAGGGACGGAGAGGGAGAGAGGAGACAGAGAGCGAGAGGGAGAGGGAGAGAGGAGGAGCTGCTGGGCCAGAAGCGCTCCAGACAGGGAGAGAGGCTTGCAGGGAAGGTCCTAGAATGAGAGAGGAGATGGTTGGAGGGGGGTCAGGTTCCCAACAGGCGGAAGACCCCAGGCTGCATGTTCTCACGCCTGCTGTGAGCCAGTCTGAGCTAGTGTGAGCCAGTCTGAACTGGTCTGAGGCAGTCTGTGTTGGTCTGAGCTCATCGGAGCCAGTCCCAGCTGGCCCAAACCTCCGGAGCAGGAAAGGCAGCTCCCAGGGAGCCAAGTGGAGCAGATGACGCTGTGGCACCTCCTCCCTCAGTCCCCCAGGCTGGAGCTGGCGGGATAGCCCCGAGGCCACTTCTAGGCCGTGTCCCTTAAGGGGGCAGCTTGGGCGAGGCCATTTTCCTTCCCTCCCACGTGTCTAGGAGGAGAGGGGTCTGCGGTCACCTGCCAGCCGCCCGCTCTGCTCTTCGCTGGTCTGGGCAGGATGGGGCACGGAGGGTCTGGGGAGCTCAGCCGCGTGCCTCGCAGCCTAGAACTGAAGCAGGGAGGACACGCCAGAGACCCCCCTGCCGTGTCTGGACACAGCCCTGGGACATGCGGCACACAATGACTCAGGCGTCTCGGCCTGCGGAGCTCCCAGGGCCCATCCCACAGACAGAGCCGGGCACGAATGTGCCCCCCCATGCCCCCTTCCCCTTCCCTCCCTACAGCACTGTCGGGGCTCCCAGGACCCGATCAGGAGCTGTGCCATGGCGGGGACATTCAGTGGCTCCAGGACGCCATCACTGGTTCCCCATGTGGGGCCAAGAGAAGCCTGGCTCAGGGCTGAGGGCACAGGTCCCAGCGTGTCGGAGAGGCCAGCAGCCCCGACCTGTCCTACGGGTTTCTCACGCATGGGAAGGTGGATGTGCGGCGCCAGGTGGCTGGGGATGAGCCAGTGACAAAGCCCTGCTCCTGGGCAGGGGGCAGCCACCACACCTGCTACACACACACACACACACACACACACACACACACACACACACACACACACAGTCTCTCTCTTTCTCTCACACACACTCAGGGACACACACATTCACATATACACACATATGCACCCACTACATATTCACACACATACACACTCACACATACACACACACACTCACCCATGCACTCACACACTCACACACACTCAAGGACACTCATGCACTCACACATACACATTCACATACACACATACACACTCACACATACACACACACTCACCCATGCACTCACACACTCACACACACTCAAGGACACTCACGCACTCACACATACACATTCACATACACACATACACACTCATACATTCACACACATTCACATACACACATACTCACATACACATTCACTTACATACACTCATACACTCACACAATCACACACATTCACACACTTGGGGACACTCACACACATACACAAACACACACAGTTTCTCTCACACATTCACACTGTCCTAAACACACTCACCTGCTCTCTTTCACACACTCCCCTACACACTCAAACTTACCTACTCTCACACGCCTGCACACACACATCTGCCTACACACTCACAACCACTCTTTCTCCCACAGTCCCCTGCTCTCTCACACACTCACACTCAAGCACTCTCACACAGTCTCATATTCACCTATACCCTCACACTTGCTCTCACACTCACACTCACACTCACACTCACACTCACACTCACACTCACTCACCTATACTCTCATACTCACCTGTTCTCTCACACACCTGTTTTCTCACACATTCACATTCACACACTCTCCCACACACACTCATACTCACCCACACACATGGCTGCTTTCTCACACTCACCCATTCTCACATGTTCATCCAGTCTCACACACTCGCACACATTCTCACACACACTCACCTCATGTCTCTCACACACTCACACTCACTCTCACACACTCACCCGATGTCTCTCACACACTCAGACTCACCCACTTTCTCACACACTCATTCACTGCCACACACCTGCTCTCTCCCTCTCACACCCTTGCCCATGTGCAGGTCACTTCCTCTCATAGTCACATGGTTCCTGTGTGGCAAGATGCTCTCAGGGCTGTTGGACCCAGTGTGGCCTTTCCCTTGCTGGGCCTGGCCCTCTGCCGTCCCTTCACTAGAGTCTTTTAGGGCGCAGGAAGGGAATAACTTGGGCTGCGGGGAGGGGGGTATGCTGTCAGGGCAAGCGAGGGCCCAGGGCAGTGGGAGAGGAGCACTGTGTGTGGGGTAGCAGGCATGGAAGCTTCTCGGCAGAGCCTCCCTCCAGCTGCGTGCTCCCAGGGTGTCCCCTCTGCAAACCCTCCACGTCCCCACCCTCATCTCTTTGCACCCCATGGCCAGGGGCACCTTCTCCTTCCGCCTGTCTCCTCTTGTCACGGGTCTCTGTCACGGTCTCCTATCACGCCCCGTCCTGTCACCAAATCTCTCTTTCACCATCTCTCCATCAGCCTCCTCCTGCCTGCAAATCCTCCTGTCATCATCTCCCTCTTAGTCACCGTCCTTTTGGGCCAGCCCCTCGTGTCCCCCTCCCTTCCTGGCACCTTGTCCTACTGTCAGTCTCCTGTCCCTCTTCCCTCCGGACCTGTCTCTTCTTGTCCTGTCCCCCGTCACCCTGTCCTGCCATCATGATCCCGGGGGGGGGCTAGGTGATGCTGGGGCTCCCCCACGGGACAGTTGCCTGTGAGTTGAGTCTCCCGGCAAGAGCTGAAGCCAGCCATGTGCTTTAGGCCTGGGGACATGAGGCCATGAGGCAGCTGTGTCCCCTCAGTCCCCTGCATGAGCGGGCTGAGCTGTGCGCTGAGGGGAAGGTCTGTCAGGCCCGAGCAGCTCCGGGTCAGACCACGCGACTCAGTGACTCCTCTGGCCTGAGCCTCTGAGCTGACCCCTGAGCCCTGGGACAGGATCTGGCAGAAAGGTGCGGGAATGACGTCATGTTGAGTAGTGTGAGGCAGCAGGTCCCAGTGATACGAGGACGGGCAATGGCCTGGGACTGGTGCCCCGGTGTGTGGCGGTCCTGGGCAGCAGTGAGGCCCTGTCCACCCTGATCCAGCCTCGCCCTGCCCGGCGCTGCGCTGCTCAGGCGGTGGGAGACGCTCTACAGCTGAGCCCCGGGTGCAGAGATGCTCACCCCACGGACCCTTGGGCTCGAGACGCAACTTGGGGAGGCTGAGGGAGAGCGGTGGGGCTCCCCCACAGACAGGGCCTGGGACAAGTCTCCCAGAAAGAGCCTGAGGACTCCAGGTCACGAGGCAGCTGTGTCCCCTTGGTCCCCTCCACGAGCAGGCTAGGCAGTGTGCTGAGGGAAGGTCTGTCAGGCCGGAGGAAGTGATGCCTTTGCTTCCCACCACAAGCATGCCTGCTCGTACCACAGGGAGCATTACCACGGAAGGGCTCGGAACCTTCCGAGATGGCAGGTGCTCGATCAGGGCAGACAGGGTGCGAGTGTCTGCACCGACAGCGGCCGGCCGAGGCAGCCCCCTGACCAGCGCGTGTCTGAGGGTGCCCGCCCCTTACACGGCTGCCCAAGTTGGGAAAGAAGGGTTTTTTTTCAAGAGTCTTGGAGTTTTAAGGTTAAGTCCTGCTGATAAGAAGTGAAGGAAGGAAATCTGAAATTCAGATTTCCATCTTCAAATAAGGAGCTGGGTCTGTGCCCTCAGATCTGCCTTTGCCAGTGACCGGCTTGTCGGCTTTGTTGAGAAACAGATTGCCCAATGCCGAGATAACAATCCTGCGAGTCTTCAGAAACGGGTTAGACCACTGGCACTTTCTCTTTCGTGGCCCTGCACCTGAGTGGGGCTGGGCTGGGCCGGGGTTCCTTGGGGCTCTTTTTTGGGAATGGAGAGAATCCTCGCGTCTGTTGGGCTGACCCTGAGAGAAATGTCTTAGAACCCTTCCAGGGATCGAGCGAGGGGCTGTCTGTGCTCACATCTTGGCAGCAGCAGGAGGGATTGGGGCCATATACAGGGTCCGAGAGGCAGCGCCCTGCTCCCCATCTTTTGGGTGTCACTGCCAAGGTCATGGGGACAGTCCTGAGGTCTGGCCTCTGCTGGTCAGGGGGATGGGGGTGGGGGGGTCCTTTCTGGCATTGGTGCGGGGCCGGGGTCCTCCCCGAGAACTGACAAGACCTTGGGGGCCCAGATGGGGGTTCCAGTGCTGGAGACTTCCTCATAGTCCAACCCCAGCAGCCTCTGCGCCGAGCATGTCCAGGCCACACTGGCCGGCCACTTGCCCGTGTCCCCATCCCCCGGGCAATTCTCTTGCATGATGGGTCCCACATTTCCCGGGTCTCCAAACAGCCTTGGCCTCCACTATAGGAGGGACCAGGAGGGACAAGACATCGGTGGACGTGGCAGGACCCAAAGTGCATCCGTCCCCTGGAGACCTGTGACCCAATCAGTGAGCATCCTCCTGGGCCAAGCCCGTTCTTCCCTGTAGCCAATGACGACTCATCCTGTCACCCGGACCACGTTTTACATGCTGGGCCCTTCCCAGCCTGTCCCCTGGGGCCCAGAGAGGAAGGGGGTCCCAGCACAACCATCCCCTCCCCGGGCAGCAGGCGGACCCGATGGCCCGCAGCCCTCGTGGGCGGGCCCCATCAGCCCAGTTCCTGCATTTCTGGTCTGCAGCTGGCTCCCCTCCCTGGGAGGAGGCCTTGGCCCCAGGACAGGAGGAGGGTGGGGACCCTTTCTCCTCCCTTCGCTCCGACTGCACAAAAGGGGAGCAGGACTGTCCTTGGCACACCTTCCCTCTCTGCCTGAGTACGTCGCACCGAGTCCGGGTCCAGAGCAGTGCCGGCACCATGGGTGAGGAGCTGCCGAAGGAGCAGGTGGCGGAGTTCCAGGAGGCCTTCAACAGGTTCGACACAGACGGGGATGGGAAGATCAACGTGCAGGAGCTGGGCGCCATCATGCAGGCGCTGGGCAAGAAGATGTCAGAGGAGGAACTAAAGGAGCTCATCGCCCGGGTGGACAAGGACGGAGATGGCGCCATCAGCTTCCCAGAGTTCCTGGCCGAGATGACCAAGAGGATGAAGGGGCACGGCAGCGAGTCTGAGATGCGGGAGGTCTTCCGCGCCTTCGACATCAACAGCGACGGAAACATCAGCCTGGACGAGCTCAAACAGGCCATGACCAAGATGGGGATGCCGCTGTCACAGGAGGAGCTGGAGCTCATGATCCGCGAGGCCGACCTGGACAAGGACGGCCAGATCAACTACGAGGAGTTCCTGAAGATCCTGTCCCAGAAGTGACCTTGGGGAGGGCGGGGCCGGACTCTCTGTGGCGGGGTCTGCTGAGACTGGAGTGCGAGGGGCTGCCCGGCCCCCAGTGCTCTGAGCACCCCGTGGACCCTGGGGGGAAATAAAGGAACGTGAATCTCATGGTGCTGCCGGTGTCTGCCGGGGTGGGAGTTCTGCACTCTCCCAGCCTCGGGGGCTGAGGGGACATGTGCCGCGCTGGCCCAGGACCTGCTTGGTTTGGGTCAGGACCACAGATGGACCGGCACATAAGATGAAGCTCGCAGCCTTGATCTGGGGGTTACGAGGCTTCAGCTGTCAGGAGCAGCTGGTGCCCAGGCGGAGGCTGGTGAGGGGGGCAGGGTGGGCGCTGGGCCTGGCCCTGCTCTTCCTTGTCTCAATTCCCCTACGGGACACTTTCAGGGTACCCGTGAGAGGAGGGGGACCCCCTGCACTTCCTCAGCCCCTCCCCTCTGCCTGGGCGCCCACTGACCCACATGGCCCTGCCTTGGAGTGGGGCTCGGGGTCTCCCAGCCCCCATTAGAATTGCAGGACCCCGCCCTGCAGTAGGGGGGTCGGGCCAGCCTGACTTGGGGAGCTCTGTCTGTTCTCATGGAGGGGCTGTGTGCTGGCCCCAAGTTTGTGTGAGCATGCATGCATGTGTGCATGGGTGTATAGGTGTGCATGATGTGTGTAGTGTATCTGTGCATGTGTACACATCTGTGCATGCATGTGTGTAAATGTGCATGCCTATGTACATGTTTGCATCTGTGTGAGTGCATGTGTATGTATAAGTGTGCATGTGTATGTGCGTGTCTGAGCGTGCCATATGTGCATGTATGTAGCATTTATACATGTATGTGCTTGCATGTGTGCATACATATGTATAAGTATGCCTATGTGACTGTGCGCACATGCATGTGTGTAACATATGTGAGCACATGTACATGTTTGCATGTGTGTGTGTGTGTGTATGTGTGTGCACGCAGCTCTGGCTGAAGGGAACGGTGTGCACACTGTGCATTCAGTGACTGACCGGGTGCTGAGAGTTTGCCTGGGTATCCCAGGAGAGCGGGTGTGGCTCTGGGTGGGCAGAAGGGGGCCATGCCTGAGGGCTGGGCTCTTGGGCGCAGACGCTCTTGTTCGCTGTAGGATTGTCAGGAAAGAGCCCCCCAGCCCGGCCCCCTCCCAGTTCTGAAGGGGTTGGGCAGGGTCAGGGGTGCTGGCCCAACAACAGCCCCTCCAGTGCCCTCAAGGGAGTTCACTGGGTTTACTGACTCACACTCAGGTGTCCTAGCAGCTTCCAGGGCTCCACTCACACCTGGTTCAGCTGAGGGTGTTCCTGGGGGCGTGCTCAGTGCCGACTGCCCTTCCTCCCACGACCCACTGATGCCCGCTTGCCTGCCTGGCTCTCTGCTCTGGGCAAAGAGTGGGTTGTCTCGAGAATCAGAGCTGACAGTGGGCCAGGTGTGCTGGACTTCAGGACGGGGTGGCATCCGCCTCACATCGGTGAGTGCTTCCTGTTGTCTGTTCTGCCCTCACTGCTCACAAGTGCGGTCAGCTGGCTCAGGAAAGGTGAGTCTGTGTATTTTAGGTGTTTGGGACACACTCAAGTGAAAATCACCCATGAAGCCATCAAGTGTCTGGTGAGCAGAGAGCCTGGGGAGGCGGGGGGGGGGGGGGGGACAGAGCCCTGGGGGAAACCAAGGTATCCAAACTTCAACTGTGGACCCTCTGAGCTGTGTTTGTTGATCGAAGATGATTCTAGGTGACCTCCTTTATCCCATCCCATTTGACAGAGAACTGTTCATCTACACGAGCATGCTGAAATCCGAACACCAACCCACCTGCTCTCTTGGTCAGATTCCCTCTAGGTCTAGTTTCCATCTGTTCCCAGAACCAATGAGCCAAGGGCATGATCAAATGCTTCCTCCTCCAGGAAGCTTTCCAAAACTGGGAGGCCATAGCCCCAGGAGGCCTTGACAACCTGGACAGTTCTTACCAATGCTCCCCTGATCTTGTCAGCCTCTGGGAATAGATCTCTGAATCCAGCTAAGACCATCAGGGCCCCAGGGAGAAGAGGGGGCTCCCTCTGCAGTAGCCCTGACCTTCACCCCAGGTCAGCTGGTTGCTTGGCCTCTTTCCTGCCTCTCTAAGGAGGAAGAGAGAAGGGGGCGAGAGTGGAGAGATTTGCTGTAGGAATGGGAGCCCCCTTTAGGGGCTGATCTGGAAGTCCCCTGATCTGCAACCTACAAGTCAGTGGCTGGGTGGTCAGCATGCCTGCGGGCATGGGAGGGGCCGCTGGCTGTATCTGTACCCCTTAGCTGGGGAGCGGGGTAACTGTCCCAGGGCCCAGAGCGAGACCTCTGAACGGAAGCCAGTGCCCTCATTGCTCCCCATTCGCCGTGCTGATCCCTGGAATACCCCCTAAGGGCCAAGAGGGGGCCCTGTAAGATGCACCCTGCACATGCCAATGGCTGGGTTCTAGGGCAGATCCCCCCAATGCCAGGTCCCTGGCGCCCCCATGCTGCTCCCAAACAGTCTCCCAGAGCAGATTCTGACTCACTCCCTGGAAGGCACTTCCAGGTCGACAGGGCTAATTGGGAGGATTGCTCCATCCGCCTTCAGGTTTGGGTTGACGACGAGGGCCCCTTCCCTTCTGCAGAGGATGTGGGGTGGCCTTGGCCAGCCTTGCTCCTGCTGCAGGGCTCCTGTACCCCACCCGCATCTCACAGTTCTGCTCCCCTCTGGAGGCCCAGACCCCCCCTCTGCTGCGTCTGCCTGCTGACCTGCAGTGTTGACCCCTGGGTCAGTTCTCCTCTTCGTGGCAGCTGGCATGCCCTCAGCACTGGCGCACACTCACCACCCCACCTCTGCCTTGCCAACCGGGGCCAGTACAGTCTGGGGTCTGGCTGCATAGTGAGGACAGGAAGTGTGAGTGGGCTCCGGGCTTGGCTCTCAGTGCTCCAATTACCCCCTCCTGTGGGAGCCCCCTTTTGGACTGGGCCCAAGTCTGGCCACCTTTGTGACATTCCTGGTTGAGGACCAAAACTGCAGAACAAGGCTGCAAGCGTCCCTGGAACCTGAGACGCTCCAGATGCCCCTCGCCCGGCCCGGCCCTTGCCCCACTGGGCAGACTGGCAGAGCGCGGGAATTGCCGGGGAAGGACCCTGGCTGTGCCAGCCCTGCGGGGGGAGCTTAGTTGCACAGTGGATTCTGAGTCACTCATAACAGATGCTGCTCTGCTTGGCAACCCACCAATCCCAGAACCCACTTGCCACCCAGTGACACCGGATACCAGGAACGGCAGCAGATAGGGAACTGGGGTTAGGGAATTGCCCCCTGTTGGGTAGACCTTTGACCTAGGTGAAGGGAGATCTTCAGAAAAATGTGCCAGTCATTAGGCCTGAGGAACTGTAGTCAGAGCCTGTGGTCATGAGAGTATGGCAGAGGTGATGCTCGTGGCAAAGTCACATGGTAACATCTACCCACCCATCTGCCCACTGTTGACCCATGTACCCACCCATCTACCAACATCTACCCATCTACCATCCATCTACCCCCCTACCCATTCATCCATCTATCCATCTATCCACCCACCCACCCACCCATCCATCCACATATTAATTCACTCATTCTACATATCTACCTACATACTCACCCTTGTGCCCATCTACTCAGCCTTTCATCTACCCCTCAGCCTAGTCATTCATCCACCTACCCATTGCCCTGACTATCATTTCACCCAACCATCTATTCATCCGTGTCTCACACAATGACCCACCCACTCACCCGTCCAGTGACCCATCAACCCAAGCATCCATCCATCTACCCATGTAGCCACCCATCCACCCACACCAATCTACCCACCCATCCATCCATGTTCTCTGCTAGGAGACCATGGAAGGTTCCAGATCAGAGGAGGTGTATGCCAATGTGCTGAGGGAGGATGCTATGGGCAGAATGAACAGGAGCTGAAGCCAGCCTGGAGGAGCGGATGCCAATACGTTGCATCTCCTGAGATTCGGGTGGGAAAGACAGTGCAGTGGCTTAGACACTTGCCTCGTGTGCTACCCAGCCTGGTTTGTCCCCGGCACCACATATGGTGCCCTGAATCCTGCCAGGAGTGCTCTAGGCCCCAAGCAAATAGCACACTTTCAGTGCTCAGGACCTGGGCCACAGGGAGTCCCAGCATCTGCCAGTCCCCCTGGTGGGCACTGGGCACCTCTAGGAAGAGCTGGGAGGGCAGAGCCTCGGGGGCTTTCATACTGGGGATGGGACGGTGGGTTTGAGCTGGTCCGTGTCCTGGAGGCTGGGAAGCGTCCCTGTAGGTATCCCAACACCAGGGCGGAGGGAGCAGGCCTGGTACTTCCCCTCGGTGAGGCAGAGGTTTCCATGAGGCAGAGGGATTTCCTGTTGGGAACTGGGTGGTATCAGCCCTGGAGGAGGCCGGAAGGGCTTTATCTCTCCCACTCGACTGTGTTCTGGAAAGACTGCAGCATGCTTGCCCGAGCTGCGGTGTGTGCTGGACTCCTCCACTCACCACAGGCATCTGTGGGGGCTTCAGCTTGGCAGCCACAGCCGGGGAGTGTCCTGCAGCGCTTCCCAGTGGGGCACGGGTGTCTCCCCACCTGCCCCTGGGAGCACCCTCAGGCTGCAGGATCGGGGACAATGGCACCTCTGGAACATGATGTCCCTGAATCATTGCCCCACAGAGGATGGGGCAGGTGTGAGCAGGATGGAGAGGGGGAGCACGGGTCTGGGACCCCCCCTGCTCCCAGCACTGTGTGCCCATTAGCGCCCGCTGCCAGAATAAATAAGGTAGCGTGGAAGGTGTGCGGTGTGTGTGTATGTGTGTGTGCGTGCATGTCCGTGTGTGTGCGTGCATGTCCGTGTGTGTGTGTGTGTGTGTGTGTGTGTGTGTGTGTGTGTGTGTAGGGCAGAGTGGGGAGAAGTGGGACAGTGAGCTTGTGTCCTGGTCCCCCGATGGCTCAGCCCTCTGTTAGGCGGGTGCCCACGTCTTCTGGGCTGTCTCAAACCAGGTCCGTGCCCAGGTCTGGCCTCGATGGTGGGGCCCAGGGTGTGTGTGTGTGCGGGGGGGGGGGGGGGGGAGGGGAACAGGCGAGGGAGGAGGGCGGGGAAGGAGGAGGGAAGTGAGGACAGGGCGTGGGGGAGCACTCTGTCAGTGGCCCCAGCCAGGTTCTCAGTCTGTGGCTGCTTCAGGCCCAGCTCAGCCCTCCCGTGAGAGCAGTGAGGTTGAGCAAGGCTGGGTGTTGATGACCAGCTTGTTCCTGTGTCCACTGGGCGCAGGAAGCAGGGCCAAAGGGCAGCGTCTCAGGCTTGGCCTCTGGGACCTGGGACACCACCCTCGGTTTCCCTGAAATGTCTCCTGATTGGTGCCCCCGGTTTGGTGCTCATTCAGGGGTCCCCAGGCCCATCCAGGCCATCACCCACGGTGATGGCTACAATCTGACAGCCCAGCTCAACGGTGGGGACCTAGATTCATTGTTTGCTGCTGCCCAGCAAGTTGCAGAGAAATCTGTCTTGTAGCAAAACCAAACACGATCGTCCTCTGGATTCCAGGGGAGCCGTTTACCCGGCAGTGCTGAGCCAGCATCTCTTGAGGTCTGGGGAGGTGCCCGCTTCTGTGGCCAGTGTGCTGGGAACTTGGCTGTGGTAGCTTGAGTGGCCTCCCCTTGTCACCATCCGTAGGCCGGGAGCAGGGCGGGTGTCTGGGAAGGAGCTGTGTCACCTCCCTTTCATTTCTTTGATCCGAGAACAGCCCTGTGCCCTGGGAGGCTGCCACTTGGGGCCCAGTGAGGCCAGAGCCTGCGGTCCAGGCTCTGTCCCCGGGGAGCCGACTCAGACTTCCTGGCTCAGTCAGCAAAGGTGCCTGTGAGACCTGTTGAAAGAGACCCTTCCCGCTGGCCGTGCTCGGTGTCATCGCTCTCCTGGTGGGGGCTGGCTGATGCAGTGTCAGAATGCTGAGTGACCTAGAACCTTCTGGGTTAATCTGGGTCTCGAGGATGAGCGTGTGCAGAAGGGATGGTCCAAGTGGGGGGACCCAACTGTGTGAGCAGAAGCAGAGTCAGAGTTCCAGGCACTACACTTTGCCTGGGTCAGTCGCACCCTCATTGAGCAGGCTCGTTTTAGAAACTTCTGGAAGCCATCATGGAAAGTTCCACACAGGCTGCCGGTGTGCTTCCAGGTCAGCAGAGGCCAAGCGCACACTTGTCTGTTTCTGTAACCAAGAAGCTCACGGAAAGTTCTGGGGGCATGGGGGTGGGTGGGTGGCACTGCAGGGAGAGGGTCCTCAAGTGGGTGGGGGCAGGGTCGTGGCACAGGTACGAGGTAGGGTGCAGGGGCTTCTGTCCTGGCATGACTGACAGGTGGGTTGGCCCTGTTGGCTGGCCTAGGGACCCTCTGCAGCCACCCCACCCGGGGCTGGCTCTTCCCTCCAGCCCCTCCCTAGGGGGCACTGCCCCGGAGTGGTGGAAGCAGGAGGGAAGGTGGGGAGAAAGGAGAGCCCCACTCCATTCCCTCCCGTGACAGGGGCGGTGCCTGCCGCCCCCCACCCCTGCACTCGGCTCTGGGTGTTGGCAGGGAGGGAGGCTGAGTCATGCCTGGACTTGGCCCGCAGCAAGACAGGCAGACCCGGCTGAGCCCTGGCAGAGGCGAGTGATGGCAGATAAGAGTTTCCAGCCCCAAGCAGTTTCCAGAGGAGGGGGCGCAGCCAACCGCGCCCTCTCTGGCTCCCAACTGGAGTGCCAGGGCGGCTGGCAGAGCTCAGGCCCAGCCTGCTGGGTGGCACAGGGCAGTTTCCTGGCCTTGAGCCCCCTGGAGCTAGAACCCCTGGCTTGCCGGCCCCTCCTCCTGTCCATAGCTCTGAAGGTTCTGGAATGTCCCAGTCGGAAGGTGACACGATAGTGCCTTTTTTTCACTCAGTGAGGTGCACGTCTGAGTTCCTGGGGGCTTCTCAGGGTGCAGAAGCCCTCTCCTTGCCGGTCCCGCTGGCTGTGCCATGACCCGGACTCCCGGCAGTTCCCCATGCTGTGGCTATTCATGGCAGTGCGTGCACCTTGGGGGTGGGGTGGCTCTGTGCCCACCAGCGGCCTGTGCTAGGAGGGATGTCAGGATGTTCCCTCGGCGCCTCTGCATCTCCCCAGGACACGATGTGGGCCCCCGTGTCTGTGCTGGCGTTCTGTCTGCCCTTTGCTCGGTCTGTTCGGAGTCTAAGATGTTGCTACCCTCTGGCTCAGGAGTCCAGGCTGACCTACAGGGAGCCTGGAGAGGACAGTGTGTTGGGCAAGAGGACAGAGCCGGAGTGGGAGTCTGGGCCTTGGTGACGTTACCAAAGGGAGAGGAGGTTGGAGGTCAAAGTGTGGAAGTTTTCTTTGCATTTTAATTGAGACCTGAATTAAATTGTGAAATCAGTGGATGTGTCTGTTTTGCTTGGAGGTCGCACTGCCTTCAAGCCCATCACTATTTCTTTTCTTTTGTTTTCATTTTCCTTTTGGCTATTTGTATGTCTTTATTGAGGAAGTTTCTGTTCATTCCCATTACTATTTCTGATGATGCTGCTTTCTCACTAGTAAGATTCACAGAAGCTGATCTAATTGGGTCTGGCGCAACCATGGATTTAAAGATCTGTGATTTTGGCTTGGAAGCTGGCCTCCCATGCAGGGGGGAAAAGGCAGCTCAGATAGAGAAGGGACCAACAAGTAAAGGATGCTTGGAGGGCCCGCTCAGGATGGGAGATGTGTGCTGAAGGTAGACTATAGACCAAACATGATGGCCTCTTAATGCCTGTGTTGCAAACCACAACACTCTAAAGGAGAGAGAGTAAAAGGGAATGCACCTACCACAGAAGCGGGAGGTGGGGGAAGGAGAATAGGGGTGGGTGGGAGGGATACTGGGAACATTGGTGGTGGAGAATGGGCACTGTGGGTGGAGGGATGGGTACTCGATCATTGTATGACTGAAATGTATGCATTAAAGTTTAACCCCCCCCCAAAAAAAACAAAGATCTGTGATTTATGGTTCTTAAACACCCTGCCATTATCTTTTTAAAAATATATATTTTTATACGTTGTATCTACACCCACAGGGCAAAGCCTGGCATGCTACCCGTGACGTATTCAATATGCCAAACACAGAAACAACAAGTCTCACAATGGAGACGTTACTGGACCCACTTGAGCAAATAGATGAACAATGGGAGGACAGTGATTACAGTGATACTTTGTGTGTGTGTGTGTGTATATATAGTTTTTTTTTTTTGTTCCTTTTTTTGGTCAGAACCAGCGATGCTCAGGGGTTCCTCCTGTCTCTGCACTCAGGAGTTACTCTTGGCAATGCTTGGGGACCACAGGGGATGCCAGGGATTGAACCTGGGTCAGTCAGCTGTGTGCAAGGCAAATGCCCTACCCACTGTACTATTGTTCCAGCCACTTGCTATTATCTTTTGCCACACTGATACGTCCTGGTAAATTGTACCCCAGTATGTAGACAAGAAAGATTTAAGGAAGTTTTGTGTGTGTGTGTGTGGGTTTTTAATTATAATTCATTTATACAGAGAAATCACATGGATTATCTATTTACAGATTTTCCCCCACAATTTTCATTTCTACAAAGGTCAAATATATTTCACATAATAGTCAACACTGACTTGAATAATTTTTCCCCCATCTTATGAATACATTCAGCAAATTTATCTAATACAGTAAAATTTCCAACACATTTCATGGTTTCTGTCCAAGTCCATTATTCACAGGTATTAAAGACCAAGGCAAATAAAGCTCACTTCCCCTCAACCCTTCAACAACTTACCTCACACCCTCAAGTTGACCTTCTCCCCTTTCCTTCCACATCCTGGCTCAGCCAGACACTTAGAGCCACTTAAAGAAAACTACGCTCCTTTTCCCTCTGTTTTTAACTAAGCACCAGTTAACACCTTCTCTCGTTTTTCAAACAACATTAAAATTTTCAGCAAAATCCCCAATACGTCCAGACGACAGTCATTTCACACACAGTTCACTACTCCAAAATGCTACTTTCCAAACTGCAGTTGGAAATCGTTAATTGGCTCAAAAACAGTATGGCTTGGATTCACTTGGTAAATAGGATTTAACATATATATATATATCTATATATATGTATAAATATATACACATACACACACATTTTTAATTAAGAAAAAAAGACACGCCAATTTGAAAAGGCATCAAAGTAAAAAAATAAAAGGAAATACTAAAAACTACTTTACAATAAAAAAATTAAATAATCGGCAGGATAAATGAATGCAATACGAGGAATGTGCAATGAAAAACAACTGTATACAACATTCCAGTTGAGGAAATGAAGATCTATTAAGTTTCATAGTTTGCTCTGCATGGAACTTAGTGTAATATTTCAGTGTAAATTCTGAAATATTACAGATATTCCATGTCAATTTTAGATGTCAATGCTAAAATTTCAAAATTTATTCAAATGAAAGGTTCAACAAAGAAGCACTGGAAAAATTCCAGTACTTGCAAATTTTAAGTTCGGGCCAATATTTTCAATGTCAGTTGGTGGGTACTGAAAAAGTCATGATGAACGATGAGAAGAAAACCCATTTCCTAACAGTTGATTAAAATATACTTTTTTAGCTGCCAGTAAAAAAAAAATGAACCACCAAACCAACCCCAAGCCTAGAACCCGGGAGACGGGCAGCGAGGCCCTGCTGCCACTATGCCACATCATGGGAATCAACTGTACACTTATAAATATGCCCCCCGCTCCCTCTACACCAGGGTCTCTTTCCGTTTGCCACCGAAGTGGCCCTTGTCCCTCGCTCTCCGGGCCCCAGTGAGGGCTCGGTGGCCTCTCACAGCTCGCGTGCCATCTGCTGCATGCAGCGGGGAGCTACACTCTGCCGTGCCTCCCATGCTGTGGGGCTGGGTGGCTGTGGAGGTGGTGGACGCCCTTCTCGGGGCTCTGATGTTGCCAGCAGAGGGATCGTTCTCCTCGCCCTCCTCGTGGAGCTTGGGCAGGCCCTGCAGCTCACTGGGGCTGGTGGCCGGCTGGGTGGGGGCGATGGCGGCCCTAAGGCAGTGCAGCCACTGCTGCTTGTGGAACACGTCGTTGGCCTGCAGTGTGTGCGACTGGCCCGGAGAGAGGTCTTGGCAGCGAACTCGGAAGATATTTTTAGCTAGGAAAATAAAATCAAGAACTTGAAAGTAGTTCATCCTGGATACAGCACTTGAACAATCTTAGCAGGGTTAGGAGTTAGCCCACATTCCCCGGCCGGAAGAGTAGGAACAAGCCCGGCAATGCACTGAGGGTGCGGGCCTAGGCCAGTGGGCGCATGTCACTTCCTGAACATTCTAGGAGCCGGGGACCGAACCCAACGCCTCACACGCATGAGGCAGGTGTTTGCCACCCGACCCCTAGGCACGAACAAAACTCTTGCGTCAGAAGAGAATTCCCTTTAGATTGTAAGTGGCTTGGAGTTCCTTTGCTTTACCTTTGTCCGAGTTGCTGAAAGCCCCTCGAAAGGAGCCCCCCATCCTCACATCTCCGTCCTGGAGGTCTTCCAAGACCAGCTCCTGCACTGGGATCGGCTGCCGGTACACCTGGTAGTAGGGACGCTCGTTCCGTGTAACAGGCCGAGTCAAAACCAAGATGTCTTGGAACAGGAATATGTAAAGTTTCTAGAGAAACGAGAAAACCAATGCTTTCTAAAGAAAGTGCTTTGTGACTTCAGGGGATGAAAATCCATTGCTAAAATAACTTGATTTGACATTGTTAATTGCTCAAGTTAATCCTTAGAAAAGACAATAAAGGCCATGTACATTCTCATCATAGAGCTTTTTTACCCTCATCACCGGAAGCCACAGAGGCAGCTGCAGCTCAGGAACAGGGCGCAGTAACACGAGTGGGAACAGCGGAGCTCTAGACCAGTTTCCTCACAAAGGATCAAGATATAACCTGGCAGCAATGCTAACGGTTCTACTTGGGCCCATATTAGCTTTCAATTTACCCCCCCCAAAGGACCTCAAGTTGAAACACAAATGTATTTTTTCACGATTATACTTAATTCTAGCAGGTACTTCTATAATTAAGATATTAAAAATAAATAGGCTTTTAATCTCCTGCAGAAATTTGTCCAGCAGTGCTAAAAATCACTATTTCTAAAATCCTTCCAAAAGAATCTCTAGACAATAAAGTTTCATTATATACTTCAAAACAAAAAAGGTAATATTGATGATTATCTACTGAGACATTTAAGTCACTTTGTAACTAGAGAAACCAAATATTGTTTTATCAAGATAAAAATCGGTACCGCTTTTCATTATATGATGCATTTTACAAACCTGTAACATAATTTATGTGGGAAAACCCTACCAGGGTAGGGAAAGTAAAGTAGCAGCTCACTTTTTAGCAGTATTACAGATACTTACATGTCCATTTTTATTCTTCAGTTCCCCATGGCAAAGTAACACTTTGCTTGCTTCAATTCTAGGGTCCTTTTGCTTTTCATCCAGATATTCCAGTTTGTCAATGTAATACTGGCATTCTGATTCGCCTTTCTTTAGGTTGATATCGGAAAGAACGCCTTGTATGATTAAGATCTACAAGAATTTTAAAAACCAAAGAACTTTAGCACATTATTCCGTTTCCCTACTAGGCCTAATATCACAGTAAAAGACTGTTTTTAAAGCTCAAAGGGACTCTAGAAATCAACCAGTTCCTGCATCTTCTAGATGAAGAAACAGCCTGAATGAGATTGGGTGACCTGCCTATGGTGACACAGCAAGCCAGTGAGAGAAAACAGAGTAGGGTCTGGTCCCTTGATTGAAACAGAAACAGAAAACGGGATCATCTCCATATTGCTCGGTGCCTACACAGTGCTAAGAACACAGGACTGGGGAGCTGCAGAACGGATACCTCCCTGCAGAAAGAATGCTCTCTCCCACACCTGGAAAACCCGAGGCTCCATCACAGGATGACTTACAGCCTCCTCCAGAAGCTGAACATCAGGGTGGTCTTTAGGAGTGTGCTTCAGAATCTCTCTTAACAGTAAAGGGTACTTGACTAGCCGGCTTCGAGGAATATCTAGGAAGCTCCAAAGATCTAGTTTCCGACTGAACGGAGACTCCAGACAGCGCTGGAGGAAGTCTTGGACTCTTGGATCCTGTTTCTTTTGATCGAGAAGAGCTTTGGCTGCCAGCTGGTTACTACAGTAGCCCCTGTAGGCATTCAAGCCTGGCAACTGCAGAGTAATGAAGCATAAATTCCGATTACTGCTGAATCCACTAATAAGCCCAAGAACACGCAACTTACAGCCATTTTTGAAAGTTTTAACAAGCTCTGAAAATGCAGTTGGTGCCAATGGGAGGAGAGTCTTCTGGGCAACATCAGAACGCTCTCCTCTAATTTCTCAAGGAAGCCTTCTGACTTCCCTATTTCCAGGACACCCAAGTGTTCCTCTATCACATCCCACCCACCAGCGGTTGCTGACTCCCGTGCCTATTCTCCCACTGTTGAGAAATGCAGAGGTAAACCTTCTTTCATGACACCTCCAGAACAGAACCTAGAACCTGACAGATACCTCAAAGAATAAAATGGGGGATTATATATGTGAGAATTATGTCCAAGGTGGAACACATTAAAAATGAAAATGTGTACCACTTGTATTTTCTTAAACAAACTGTTACTACATAAAGGTTACATAAATGGCTTAATGGCTTTGACGCTGTGTTTTATCTGCTTGTAGAATCCAGTTAATGGATCAAATCAATCTAATACTAAACACAAATTGCAAGTATGGCAAATCTGTCAAAAACTCTCCAGAGAAATCAACTTGCCACGTACCCAATTCACAAGAATGTCACCAATCTGTTCCACGGTCCCACCTGGCTTGGTTGCTTCTCCTATTCTTGCCAACAAATCTGCAATGCACAATAGCAGACACCCTTAAACAGGGTAGACTGAACAATCATTCAGCAGCAGCCAGAAAGAGACTTGTGCTACTGCCATTCAGAGACTAGTGGACATCATGTGGCCTGTCTGACCTTCATGCAGAGGGATGTAAGCGTCCAGATCGCCAAACAGATGGGTGAGCTCCTCTTCAGACATGATCGACAGCTTTAACATGGGGTCATGGTAGGCCTGTCAGTGGGAAAGAACGGGTCACATGAAGAGAAGCAGAAAAACAGGAGGGGAGATGACTAATGATAGAAAAGTTGGCAGGTATTCTATTTGCGACATATACAGAAACTAAAGTCTATGTTAATTTCCAGGCACTCTCTTACTAATGTTCGCATTTAAAGAGACATGTCTGAAGGTCATCGAAAGTAAGCACTCCCTTGTAGATATTTTCTACTTCTGAAGGTAAGAAAAATATCATCTAGAATTCACAAAATTTTGGGAAAAAAAAAGAAAAAAATATATAATAAAGTTACTAACGGACCTTTCTCGCCAGCTTGAGGTCTTCAATTAAATCCTGTTCTCCTCGGAACATTTCATATATTGCCTAAAAAAATGAGTAAACACAATAGGTTGGTCATTTCTTTCCCCGAGAAAGGTAAACTCTATATGACTGATATTTACTGATCTAGTGCTTTAAATGGTGGTTTTTAAAAAGTGACTCAATTTGAAACTATGATTTAAATGGAAGTGCAAATGGGAGATGACTGCGCTCTCCAATGCGGCTGCCATATATCTAATCATCGAAAGCCGGGAAGCCGGATGACAGCCAGCCCTCACAGTGTGGCCAGCATGTATGCAGATTCATAATCACAGAGGAAAGGACAGTTTAATTTTGCTGTGTCAGTACTCTATGCTTCGGGAAAATCAGAACAATGTTTAAGAATTAGCCTGGTGCCATGCTGGCAAGAGCTGGTGTACCTCCTGCCGCTTGATCTCTCTGGTGGTCAGAGACTCTTTCATGCTGACGTCCGTCAGCTCTGACCACAGTGCGCTGCTTCTCCTCCGGGAAGGCATCGGGACTGTGGATCTGCTCGACAACTTCTGGGCAGAAGCTGGAGATCTGGTATCGCCACGAAGGGAAAACGACTTCAAAGGGAAAGAAAAGATTGAGTCTATATCAATTATTCCCACCCCCCAAAACCCACCCATCAGTTTGGTTTTTAAAAGCAGGAGATAACGAGTTCTGGAATTTCTCAGTGCATGAAAGAATTATTTATCCAAAATTCAATCTATCATTCTAAGATATTTATTTGTCTAAATTTCCCTTCAGAAATGAAACCTCTTTAAGACGTTGCATTGATTAAAAAACCATTAATACAACATGGTCATACAGACATTGTTTGGGTAGTAATATTTCTAGCAAGTATATTCCAAGTTTTAGACTTAAAACTTAAGTTTAAGTCTAATAGTGCAAACTTCTTTGTAGCTCTTAAAGGCTTCCATAGAAAGTCCCTCCCAACACTAACCCAGCTTAGCCCCCCGCATCCGCTTACCTGGATTGTCTGACCGAAGCGCCTGACGGCCCCATTTCTCACAGGAGAGATTAGATTTGCCAAGGATGTGACCCTAGCTAGAGGTCGAACTCTTTTATTACTTGGCTCCTGTCAAAACAGAAACAGGTTATATGAAATGTGGGTTGAGGTGTAATGATTTCAAACAAGTATAGACAAAGTTTAGCTCTCTCAAACAACATTATACATTGTAAAATGCAGGAAAATGAAGATGCATGCTGCCCTTCACTGCTAACCACCACCGGTTAGCAATCATTTATTAAAAAAAAAAAAGACATAAAAATGAAATAAGGTTATAGGTGTTCTGAGTTTCAGGCCACACCTGGGAATGAGGAGGATGCTGGGAGTCAAGCACAGCGAGCACCCTCCCCGCAGTACTACTGCTCTAGCTCCTCGGTTATGGAGATTTTTAGTAAAGTGCTTCACTATGTGGAAAATCAATACATAAATATTACAAGAAAGGCAAATCCAACACACGAAAGTGGAAAATAATATAATGGGTCTCAAGGATGGATCTGTCTCCTCTAATGCGGCTCACAAAAGCTTGGAAATAATCAAAAAGGGGAAGTTGTATTGCCCCCTCTCCCTTCCCCAACAGTTAACGCCAAAGGAAAACTGTGACTAGAGAGCCATTCATGGACAAAGGTTCCGTGAAGTGACAAAGTCACCTCTGAGCCACGAAGTGGACTGACACAGTGTGTGCCCAAGGACACGTGTGAATGCCTCTGCAGCACCATCTGTGAGGCCCAGAGTGACACGGGCAGGCAGGAGGCCAGCAGAAGGCATTCCTTTCCGTTTAGCCAAGGCGCCACAAAGAGGCTTCTGTTTGCAGGAGATATGATCACCTCCCAAAGGAAGACACGCCAGCGGGGCCACAGACAAGGCACTGGCCGCAAGGGTCTGCTCCCCTTTTTGGGCAAGAGGTCGATTCCTCTTCTTTGTTTAAAGTGTAAAAGATGGACATCTTAGTGAATCACAAACTACTTAATTTCAATGAAAAAGTCTCTGGAAAGGTATTCTCCTCGATAGATTGCAGTTTCAAATTTAGCTGGGTGCAAAGGAATTTTTTGATAAATACTTTGTAACTTAAAAACTAAATTCATGACAAGAAATTCTTTTCTTTATAGGACCAGCCACTGTATAATTACTAATTTCTCACTACAAATCATGTGATATTTAAAACTAAAATCAGTCTTCTGAGTTAGAGAGTTAAGCGTAAGATAAAGCATCTTTCTGAACTGAATGTGTTTTTTTTTTTTTTTAATACAGTCTCTTTAGGGTGGCAGGATATGGGGCGAAGTGGTTAAAAAGGTTCCATAATTCTTGAAACCTTGAAACCCACTTGAAATTCACTTCTTTACAAAGAACACATTACCCTAAATACATCTAATCTAACATCTAAAACATAAGAAAGCAGCCACGTAGCCATGCCAATCGAGCACAAGACTCCTAAAATACAGAGGTAAGGAGGACTAGGATTAAATCAGGAAATGGTGGGGGAGAAGCACATATACCTTTCCCACTTTTTCCTACCTTAATAAAAGGATGCATGTGATGAATGCATGGAAGATGCAAATTTTTAGCATATATATCTCAAAAGTACAATTTTAATGCATTAAAATGAAAGCAGGAGCTGGAGAGATAAGAGCAACAGTGAGTAAGCTGTTTGCCTTGCAGACAGCTGACCCAGCGCTATGTGACTCTCCCCCTAGCCCCTCCAGAAGTGATACTTGAGCGTAGAGCCAGGAGTAAGCCCTGAGCCCACTGGGTGCAGCCCCAAACTAATGAGCATTTTTGCGTGAGGGGTCTGGGTAAGGGTACTAAGTGGGTCATCTCTATAGGAGCGACAAAATGTGTCTTTAGGATTTGACCCCTGTAATCTAGAACCAAACAGTTTTCTGTAGAGGCCCAGGTGAACTATTACAAACTTAAACATTTCACTGCCACAACACACACTTCCAAGACAAAGCTTTTGGAGAACTGCCATTCTACCCAACCTCGCCCTTCTGTGGGCATGAGCTACAGGTACAGGAGAGCGGGAAGAGGCTGGCCTAGATTACTATCACCCTGAAAGCAGCTCACACCGTGACTTTGTTCCCGCTTTTATTTATTTTTGTTTTGGCACCCCTGTGAAGCCAGGAAGCCAAAGAATGGTATGAATCTGAAAGGCTACACTCCTCCCTGGAGACCCAAAGCCTAGGACTGAACAAAGAACATCAGCGCGTTCAACGAACTTCTTTCCACTGTGGTAATCTTTCACTGGGGCTAAGGTTCACTTAGGTTGGAAAAATGCCCAACCCCCTCTAATATAAATTTATGTTGTTTATTTAGGTTATCTTTTAACCAGACGAGATTAGGCAATCACAAGCATGATTATAGGGAATTTCCCTTCAAACCAAGTTTTTGGAAAATAAATTTTATCTATCTACTTATATTCAAGTTTTATGCCTCAAAATATTCCTATTTATAAACAAAATTCTCACATCTGTTTTAAGTCTTTTATTAAAACGCATGCTTTGCACATAAAAGCAGTTACAGAAAAATGCTGTTTCAAGTAAGTTTTTTCTTGTTGGTTAAAAGATTTTTTTCCTACTAATGACATCATGCAGGAGGCCAGAGTCTCAGATTTCTTCTCCAGTCAACTCAAGGCACTGCAGAAAAACAGTGTCTGCCGGGGGTAATTTTATTTGGTTAATGGATAAACAAACTTCTCTATCTGGCAAGGACTTAAAAAGTCATCTGTAGAAAGATAAATCTAAATTATGACCACAGAGGACTTTTCCCCTTCCCTACTCAGTCATGGAAATCACCAAAGCGCCATGGAAGACGGCACTGCTAGTACTAAGACCCGGTGACCCTGAGTCTGAAACCAGGCAAGATTACTCTGTGATGGCCCAAACACTGTCGGTCTGTCCAGGCACAATGATGCCCACACACTACTTCTTCCACTCCAGGAAACACTTGTATATTCCGAAAAGCATGAAAGGCAAAACCCCAAACCAACCAACCAACCAACCAACCAAAACTGAAGCCAAGGCACAACAAAAACAGTATTATCACCTAAAAACGGTGGGCCGCTGGTCGTTCACACAGGTTATATGAACAATGAAGATTTACTGAGGTACATGTAAGTAAATGGACAATATACAAATTGCATAATCAGATAAATTGATATATGTACACATACACAGAAATCACAACTAAGAAGTGTATAGTTAACAAAGTGTAGAGGGCTATCCTTTCATGGAAGTGACTATTATGGCCAGAGAGTAATGGAGCATGCAGTTGACATAGAATGCCCATATATAGTATTAAATTAGAACTGTCAAAATTAAATAAGATGACATAAAGATCACTTGACACATTTTGGAAAAAGATCATAAAGTCTTAAAACGAAAAAGAACCTATATCTGACTTCGGAAAACCGAAAGCAAGGGCGGCAGAAGCGCCCATTTAATAACGCGTCGGTAAACATCTTAAACATGTTCTTTGCGTCCGAACTAAAAAGGGGGTGAGAAATGAGAAATGAGCCTTTTATGATGGGGGTCTGGAGCGAAAAATAAAAATGAGCGCCGGGTCAGATGGTGTTTCCGTGGCGCTCTCGCGGGCGGCAGCACCACTTCTCCTAGCCTCCGTGCAGTGCCTAAGCTCAGGGACCGGAGGCGGAGCCCCGCGCGAGCGCCCGGGGACCCCAGGAGGAGCCCCGCGAGTGCCCGGGGCAGTGCCCCAAGCCGGTGACCCCAGGCGGAGCCCCCCCCCCCCAGCGCCCCCGCCCGCGGCCCCCGTGCCGCGCTCACCTCCGGCTCGCGGAAGCTCTGGTTGTTGGCGTCCAGCACCCGGATGGTCCTTTTGATGGGCAGGAGGCCTCCCACCTCATCGTGCGCCACCATGCTTCCCGGGAAGCCCCGGCAGGCGCTCAGCCGCCCCGGCAGCCAGGGCCGCCGCCTCTGTCCGTGCGTCCGTCCGTCCGTCCGTCCGTCCAGCGTCTGCGAGCCGCCCGGGCGGCGCCGGGCTCCAGCCTCGGGGGCGGGTCCGGGGCGGGGCCCGAGCCACGTGACGCCGCCGGCCCGCGCGCGCACCTAACGGCCAGCGCTCACCTGCACGGAAGGCGCGCCGTGCCTCTGAAGGCAGGAGGGCTAACTCAGGAAGCCTGGAGACGGACCGAGCGCCCCGTCACACGCGGCCTCGCCTTGGGCCTGACTGCGAACACGGGCAATTTAAAAAGTTTAAGTCCCTATAAATGGGTTCCTGCCACCCCCCATCTCATTGTTTTCGGGGGTTGGGGTACCCGGCTGGTCCAAGGCAATCCCTTAGCCCCCCGAGGACACAGAGCAACAGTAGGCACATGCAGCTCCCTTGACCCCTCTGCAAGGATCCGGCTGGCTCTCAGAGCTCTGTACCTGTTTCTCAGACTTCCAGTCAGATCATTTGTTTTCCATGTGTTCTCATCTTGCTTTATCCTAACAGGGAAAGTGCTGCTTTCACAGAAGTTCCCTCCGACCTGGCCCCAGTCAGCCAGACGTTTCTGTTCTAAGTGGTGCATAGGTCTGCCACACAGGGCACGCTTCCTTCATATCAAGTACTGCGCAGTTTGGAAAGGCAGAACTTTCTCGTAACTGTGCACCACATGACATGAGGCTAGTCGTTTGCAAACCCATTTCTATTCTTAGGATCTATTAGGATGACAGGAAGCTGGGCGAGCTGTGAAAGGCACTAGTTTCCATACTATGAGTGGCACAAAATGATGTTTCACATCTGCTCCCAGGTAGAGGTATAAGCCACATGAAAAGAGAAGGAACAAGAAACAGCTATCGAAAATTCCAGAACAACTGGGAACTTAGAATTGGGTAGGAGTGGCCCTTGTGACAGTGGTCTCTAGAGCTGAGATGGGCTGGGCCATGGTGGGGAGGGGTCCGGAGGGGCAGGCCAGGCTCTCAGGAGGGAGCCCACACTGTCAGGTGCAGGGGCTGAGGGCGAGGAGCAGGAGCAGCTGCTTTAAGTGAGCAGGTGAGAGGGATGAGGACAACTGTCCTTTCATATGGCTTGAATGATGACTGGAAACAATCAGGAATCACCAGCTAAAACTGCGT